TTTGTACTCTGACTATCACAAAAAATATATCAAATTCATAATGTTTTTTAATCTTTTAATGAAACCTGGAATATATAAAAATAAAAAGATAGTTCAACACTTTAAAATAATATCTGTTTTTGAAAATTGCAATAATTTTTTTATTTATACTCCGATTATTACAAAAAATATATGGAGTATCAAAATTTCTAGCTTTTTATTATTTTTCATATGACATCAATGTTGCATATATATAAAAATTACTTGTGTAAAACCATGAATTATCCTGTACTAACTCATAACTACCAACAGTTGGGCGTGTATTACATATGGAAAAAGTGACAATTCATTATATGTATTACAAAGAATTACACAAAATAATTTTTTTTAAAATTTAAACGTACAATTATAAACTATGGAAATTTTGTGGTCTTTGAATTAGAATTCATCAGGGCCCCACCAAAATAAGATGATTAAAATCTCATGTTTATTTTAATGTGCTCTACCTTTTTATTTGTACTCCAATTGTTACAAAAAATATATCAAAATTCATAAATTTTTATTATCTCTCATATGACACCAATATTGAATAAAAATAAATAAATTAACACTTTAAAACATTGGTGTCATGTAAAATATTTTATGCAAACATTAATAAATTTAATTTGTATTATTTTTATATATGCAACATTGGTGTCATATACAATAGTATATGAAAGATTATAAAAAGTTATAATTTTTTATATATTTTTTGTAACAATCAGAGTACAACTAAAAAAGATATAATTTGTACAAAATATATATTTTTTAAAGTGTTATTTTTTTATATATTCAATATTGGTGTCTTATGAAAGATAATAAAAAGTTATGAATCTCGATATATTATTTGCAACAATCGGAGAACAAATTAAAAATTTATAGCACTTTAGAAAAACATGGGATTTTATTTTTTGATTTGTGTGGCCTTAGGAAGTTTTCTAAATATTGATATTGTGTGTGTGTATTACTACGTAGATTATTAGAATTCAATAAATCTCTTGAATGTATTCATTGTAAAATTTGAAGTTAATTAGCTTACTATGGACATGTATATTCACTAGAAAAGCAGAAGTGAGATAGACATATATACAAAATTGAATTAGCTTATTATGAAGTTAATCATTCATGTTTTAATTTGAAAATATTGATCATTAAAGTTTTATAAGTATTTGCCCATATAGGACTAAAACAGAAATGCAAAAATAGGACTTAATCTGTTTTCTTCTCTTAAATAGGACCAAATTACTCCTACGGTTAAAAACATGAAAATTAGCATCCCAGTTTTGCCCTTGAACCCATTTACACATTCTCTCTCTCTCCTTCCCCACTCATTGATCGGCCGATTACTTTTCCAGACCCCAAAGAAATAGTAACTGCATCTCATCTTCTCCGCATAGATCTGCTGCATCGCTTACTCCACCGCATGGTGCTTCCACCGCCTCTGCCTTCGCCGCCTTCGCTTCGTCGCTTCGTCGCTTCTGCTTCATCGCTTTCTCCATCAACCATCATCAACTTTATTTTCCTTCGGATTTCAGGTTTCTCCTCCTCCTCCTCCTCCTCATCCTCCTTCTTCTCCTCCTCCTCTTCTCCTCCTCCCTTTCTTCTCCTCCTTCTTCTTCTCCTCCTCTTCTTCTCCTCCTCCTTCTACTCCTTCTCCTCCTCCTCCTCCTCCTCCTCCTCCTCCTCCTTCTCCTTCTCCTTCCCCTTCCCCTTCTCCATCTTTTCCTTCTCCTTCGCCTTCATCTTCCTTTCCATATTTCTATTCTTCTGTTTTTCAGGATTTTGACATGGATTTGTCCATTTTTCCAGACTTCTATTTTCGTATTTCTAATTTCTTACGGAGTATTTCTTAGTATTTGAAAATTTTCTTATTTTTTGGATTTTTGGATGATGGCATACGATTTTGCCATGTTTATGGCAGAAATGTACACTGACAAAATCATATTATGGCAAAAAAGGCATATGTAAACTGGCTTTTCTGATTCTTTTTAAATAACATCGTGTTTGTAATTTTCAATTGTGTTAGCGTGCTTATTCAATTACAATTTGGAATTTTTCGAACTTTTGATTATTCATTTCATGCTTTTGCCAAATATATGGCAGTTTTGTGTTACTATTTCAAGATAGATCTGCCAAATATGTAGCAGATTTGAAATCCTTGTTCATGGCAGAATTCAAATGAAACTCCCAGATTAAATCTGACAACTCTATGGCAGTTTTTTTGAGCCAAAGTTGTGACAGTGCTCGGAGGTCAAGTTTCCATGGGTGGTGGTCGGAGGATGGCGAAAGCTGCGGCGGATGGTGACTTTGGTGTGGGAGAGCGGTGACAGGCGGTAAGGGTGGAGGCATACAACGCCGGCGAGGGCGGTGACAGGCAGCGGTGAGGACGGCGGCGCTTGCACAAGCGGTAGTAGGCGGCACCACCAAAGGCGGCGACAAGTGCCAACTGCGTTGAGGTTGACTGAACTTCTCGTGTGAAATATTAGGGTTCCCTGAAATTTTACCTTTTTAGTTTTAAATTCAAATAAAAAATACTGAATGGGGGCATTTTTGTACAAATATGTGTTTTTAAGTCCTATGAAACATAGACTCGTTTTTTGGTCCTATTTGTGCACACCGAACTTGTTTTAGTCCTATTTGAGTCATTAACTCAATTTTTATTTGTCACAAAAAATTGAGATGATGACAGTACACATGAAATGTTGACCGTTGCATTTATTTAAGAACGGAGGAAGTATTTAATAACATGGATTAAATAGTGTAAAAGTCAAAATGTTGCATTTATTTAAGAACGGAGGTAGTATCAAATATCTTATTAACCTCCAAACCTGGAATGTCGGGACATGTATTGTAACACAAACCTTTGATGTTTTTATAGTATGAATCTTGATATCTACTTTCTCAAAAGCCATAGTGTAGTTATTGGAAAATATCACATCCTAGTAGATCTTAGTTTCTCTTGAAGATTTAATTGATGTATGACAAAACAATAATATTGTAACCCGAACTAATGTATTTAAAGTAATTCTTTAATTTACGTATTGTTGACATGAAAATCAGAAACCTAAAAGTCTTATACAAGACAAAACGGAAAATCCACAACACCAAGAGTCGACTACAATCATCTCGAAGATATCAATTCTGTGTGCAATGACGAACCCTCAGAAGTTGACATAATCCCTTTAAATGCGGGTGTGAAATTCTATTCCGATTTCCGTATAAGAATGTGGAAATGAAATGAGAAATTTGAAACCAAAGTGGAAAGGGAACCAAAAAATACTCAATAAGATGGAAGGTTGTAGTAAGTAGAGTGAAAGGAAAGAATTAGTACTCTCTAATGATGTAGCTAGAAGGTGAAATGGTAGGATGACATAATCGTCTGGTTAGGAAAAAAAACTTTAAATATGAAGGGAAACATAATTAAAATACCCCAAACTTTGAAAGGGGTGTGAGATAAACAACCTAAACTTGCATATATAATTTAAAGACCCCAAACTTTATATAAAAAGTTAGCACCATAATCAAGTATTATTTCTTTCAAAAATGTAAATTTATGGTGTCAACAACAACTACAACAACATCCAAGCCTTAATCCAAAAAGAATTTGGGGTCGGCTAACATGAATCGGTCAATGAAGACACAATTAATATTCTTAACTTCCATTGAGAAATAAATAATATTATTCTTAATTTATATAATTACAACGCTTTTAATTTGCTCTTTTAAATTGTGCAATTAATTATATATGCAAGTTTGGGATGTTTACCTTATACCCTTCAAAGTTTGGGGTATTTTAATTATTTTCTCCATAATTCAATATAATAATTACAAGTACTAAACGGAAATGAAAGTGAAATACAAGGAAAAACAATCTTTTATGCACCCCAAATCATTTCACTAAAATTGTTTTAAAAAGTCTAATAACTTCCAAATCATTCCTAAAATGGAAACAAGAGTGAAACATCATAAAATGAAAGTGAGAAAAATTAAAATAACAAGACTGCATGTGTTAAAGTACGATAAATATAAATTTGTCTTAATGTCATCTCAAATTTATGTTCACCTTTCTAATTAAGGGTATTTTCAATGAGAATCATTTTTTTGATCTCATTTATAAAAGTAAAAGTTATTTTTACTTAAAGTTATTTTTACTTTACTGTATATATTAAAATAATTTTAGTATATTTTGGCCGAGAGTTTCAGCTCTCAAAAAGTTTTATTAATTACATACAGAACAATCATATCGTGACACTAAAAGTGGTGTTTAAGAGCTAGATAAATAAGGTAGATTGTATATAAAATGTAATAACTAATTCTTTTACTCATGGATGTAACTTTAATACGATAGTATAGTACTATTTGGTCATGCAAATTGATATCATTTTTCGTTTCTGAATATGAGCCGTTTGTCTTTTTATTTTTCATTGCATAATTTTCTATTATAGCTACCTCTTGATATGATGAGAATCTTTTTATAGGTTTTATTCGCCTCACCTTCTAGGTAAAATTGTCTATTAGAAATCTAAAGCATGCCACTTTTCTTCGTTCAATAAAGCTTATTTTACTTAATAAGATCATACGTATTATATACCTTCAATAACTCAATCTAATGAAAAATAACATAGAAGGGTTAATATCTTGAAAAAATCGACAACACCCATTTTTAGATCGATAAATAAATTACAAAAATGTGTATTTAGTTTTGAAAAAAACAGTAAGCCACGAATGAATTTTAATGGATAAAAATAGGCATTGATCGTTTCCTTTTTATTTAGGTAAAAATAGATTGTTTTCATTTGGATGCAACTAAGAGTTATAAAAAAAATGTTCTTTTCATCGAAAAATATAAATTGGAAACATGTTTAGATAATTAGTAGAAAAATAAGGCATACTTAATAAATTAGAATATGCATTTTAAAATGTTATAATCGACTAAATAAGTGATTTTACATTAGTAAAACTAAATAGCAAAATCATTTTATCTGGTGTAGTAATTTATTACATGAATAAATAAAAGGAAAAGGAAATATCAGGTCCACAAAGAGTATAGTAGTGTCATAAATGAAAAGGAAAAGTAGTATTAGTACATAATTTATTACAGTAATAAATAGTTTGAATAATTAGCTAGAGTTGGCGGTAGCTGAGAAGGGTGATCTTGGCTTGACGACAATCTTGGACATAAAAAACAACGTGTCGTGAATTAGGGTGAATCGAAGTTGCCCAGTGAGGAAGGGCGTATTCGGCCGCCGTTGTGTTAAGTACCGCCTGATCCTGATCATGATCACCACCATCAACAACCGCGGCCTGCAGCCTGGACAGCCCCCACAGTGTGGTTTCAGGGGACAAGTGATCAATCCTAAGCTTGAGATCCGTAACCGCCATGTTATGGGATGCGTTCTTGATCACAACCCGGTGCTTGCAAAACTGGGATGCTCCGACGCTCCATTTAGAGACTATGGAGTGCATGAACTGGATTGCGGCCGGGGATTGTGATGACGATGATGTTAAACTGGCCAAGAGGCGGAAGAAAACGGCGGTGCCAGTCATTGTTGCCTCGGACTGCTCATAGTTTGACCGGAGATCCGCGTATTGGTCATCCTCACCCGGACTGCCGACAAGGGCCCCAGTGAGGATGTGGGGATTTGGATCGGGGTTTCTGTACCACGTTGCGTACGATGTTCTGCACTGCTGTTCAGCTGGTTCGGCGAGCTGGGAAAGGAAGGCCGCGCTTTTGGTGTCGGTGGAGGCAGCTCTGTGGTGAACACGCTGGGGAAAGCGTGGGCCGTACCTGACCAGGTAACTCATGCTCATCGGGTTATTGCCCAGGATGTAGTCCGCCTGAGATCGGGCGAACTTCAGTGTGAGAATAATGGGAAGGTTACCCCTGAGGAGCCCTGACAGATATATTTATATTAAAGAGAGTTTAATGTAAAGTACAATACTAAGCCTCTAATAATTCTATTACACCCCTCAAACTGTGCGGGAGATACAACGCGCAGGTTGTCTTTCAAAAAATGAAAACGTTGACTAGAGAGACTTTTAGTAAAAATATCTGTCAGCTGTAGATGAGTAGGAACATGTTGAACAATCAGATCTCCATGAGCAACCCGTTCGCGAACAAAATGATAATCAATCTGAATATGTTTACTGCGAGCATGCTGAACTGGATCTGTAGTCAAGTAAGAAGCAGATATATTATCACATAATAAATGTACCGACTCTGAGATAGGCCATCCAAGTTCGAACAGTACTGAGCGGATATGTAGTGTGTCTTGTACTGTGTAAGCAATGACACGATATTCCGCTTCTGTGGAGGACTTGGACACAGTGGGCTGCTTCTTAGCCTTCTAGGAAATCAAATTAGGGCCCAAAAATACAGCAAAACCTGTGGTGGACCGAGAACTATCAGGACAACCTGCCCAATCTGCATCGGAGTAAGCAACTACACAGGTTGGCCGATTAGACTGCTGAAGCCAAAGTCCATGATCTCGTGTTCCCTGCAAGTATCTGAAAATTCTCTTGACTGCAAAAAGATGAGTGGTACGAGGAGCATGCATGAACTGAGACACTAAGTGTACTACATAAGTAATATCTAGCCGTGCCAAAGTTAAATATTGTAATGCACCAACCATGCTGCGATACTCAATAGAATCAGACAATAACTCATCATCAGAAAGAGACAGAGTGGTACGGGAAGCTAACGGGGTGCGAACAGGTTTGAAAGTATGAAGGTGAAAACGAGCTAGAAGGTCAGTAACATATTTATGTTGAGAGAGAAACATACCTTTAGCTGAACGAATGGCCTCAACACCCAGAAAATAATGGAGATTACCCAAATCTTTCATAGCAAAATGTTTAGATATAATTGAAATAAATTGGGTAACAGATAATTCAGAATTGCCAGTAATAATAATATCATCCACATATAGTAATAAAAAAATAATAGTATTATTCTGGCGGTATATGAACAAAGAATTGTCAGATTTGCTACAGGAAAAATTATGTTGTAGAAGAAAGCTACTATTGAAGGTAAATCCCGTAGATCCGAAAGCCCAACACGAACTTTGGATATATCAGGAATGGTACAGAATCAAAGTGTATAACTAAAATATAAAATATCAACTCACTAATACTCGAAAGCTCACTTGTATTAATTAACCAGTCTGATTACAAGGAAATTCCCGATCGGTAGGTCGGAAACAATGCTTTAATACAAGAAATAAGAGCAATAAAGCTATTCTAGAGCCTGAGTATTGAAATGCTAACCCTTACAATGATTTTAAACCTTCTATTTATACTAATGGAGAGCATGGGCTGCCCTATGCTGATTGGCTGTTATTCCACCGACTTGGTCACCCATGTTTCCACTTGCTGATGTCACAATCTGGCATTAATTGCACCTGGCCACTTGCCGGTTGTCCGTTACTCGAACGAGATGTTGGACTATGCTGAAGACGCTGTCAAATTGGCCCAAATATGATATATAGCCCGAACTCCGTCCGGTATGTCTTCTTACTGGGCCAACCCTTATTTGGGCCGAATCTCGTTCGACATGAATTCTTCACTGGATCTACTCATCATAGAGTGATGGGCCCGTTGCTTGGGTCGGGTATCTTGGGCCTTCTTGATCCGGGTATTGGGCCTCTGGATCAATATCCCAACACAAGTCCCCCACTTCCGATGTCTCGAATGACAGTGAGTGCATTAGGAAGTATGAATACCAATGTTGCAATTTGACGAATGGCGATCGGGGTACAGAAGTAGTTAGTTCCCCATGCTGTGATTTGATGGCTGTCGTTTCATTTCCCCATATTCATCATGGTAACCGTCGTTTAGTTATTTAATTAGACACGCGTTTAACTTAAATGCTCCTAGTGACGTGTTGCCCCCTGATTGGTCCTTGACACGGCGGTTTCAAGGCTATAAATTAGCCTCTAACTTCTCAAATCCGGGTTTCGATTCTGCAATTCTCTTCGCCTTGCCGTTTTTCTGAAATTTCTCCCAGCCCTCGTCGCTCAGGTACTCTCCCTCCCTTGCTTTCTCGCCTCAATCCTGACTCGGTCGAGATGAATTCCCAACAGTGTTCTGATTCGGAAATGGCTTCTCAAGGGGAGGACCGTGATGTGGAGATTATCACCGTCCCTTTTGATGAAGGTTCCAAGGCAACGACGGCGAAGGTTAGGGCGGAGACGGGCGACTCCTCTGGCAGTTCTTCTTCCTCTAGTGAAGATTCCGACGATACCAAGTTCGAGGACGAATTAGCTTCCATGGCGGCCGGACGTCCCAACGATTTCCCTCGCCATACCCTTGACCTAAAACTGATTAGGGAGAGGCGGCAAAAACTAACCTCCCACAATAGGGCCGAAATTCCGGCCCTTATCCCTGACCCAGTGAATTTCCGTCTGCAAGCTGGGCTTCACCCAATGCATCATAGGCCCGGAATGATTGTAGTTCATTTCGACTCAATTAGGGCCGACCTTAGGTTTCCGCTACATTCTTTTTTCATTTCATTTTTCAATTTCTATGAAGTTGTACCGACCCAAATTATGCCGAACTCATATTGGGCAATGGCGGGTTTTATTTGCCGTAGTAAAGATGCCGGTGCCCGACCAACCTTAGAACTCTTCCATCAATTTTTCAAGGTAGCCCCTCAACAAACCCACGGCTATCTGGCCACTAGTGCCCGAACGGGACATATTCTGTTTAAGGGCAACCCAACTTCAATCAAAGGGTGAAAAGATCGGTTTTTCTTCGTGTCAGTCCCGGACGGCCTAATTCCCCGCAAATGGATTGCCTTCCCCCGCAAGACTCCTGATCCAGTCCTTACTGGAGAAATTTACAAGGACGTGCTTGCTGTGGAGAAAGATAAATCCATGGACATCATGAGTTATCTGACTCCCGATCGGCTCGTTGAAGTCGGGATAGGTACTGCTCGTTCTCTTGGGTTTACTTGTTTTGAGAAATCAAGTGCCATGGTCCGGACGGTCCTTCCCGTACGAGAAACGTTCTTTTCTACTTTTTTCTAGTTTCTCACACGCTAAGGCCGCTCGATACTAACATTTTCCTTTGTTATTTTTCAGCACCAAATCCAGATCTACCCATGGATAATAACAGAGTTATGGCAGCTGGTGGGGTTGGTAAACAGAAAAAGGCCAGGAAGAACCCCCAACCTACTCCCTCTACTGTTCCTGCTCAGGATGCTGGGTCTTCTCAATCAATTCCAGAGCCACAGCCAATACAGCAGGTCCATCAGGACCAATTCGATGCCATGCTGGTCGATGATCGGTTTGGCTCTGACCAACTGCAACAATTTCCCGAGCACTTCCATGCTGCTCAAGAAACCGGCCAGGGTTCGGGTGATATACCCACCGTCCATTTATCTGGCCAGGTTGACCGGATTTCCCTGGCGGATCCGGTTCATGATGTTGTAGAAAGAGGTGGATGTTCAGCAAGCCAGATCTGGTCTACCTCTGCCTTCTTTAACAATTTCACCGTCCCCAAACTGTCGGTCGAGCAGTCTGAGGAATGCTTGGCCTTGGCAGCTCTAAAGTTATCTTGCCACTTCGTAGTTTAAATCTCTCTTAGTTTAAAATTTTCTTTCACCATCTCATTTCCCGAACGTCATTCTGCAGGTTCGGCTTTACAGTCTGCAGCTGAAGGAAGCTCGGCTGGCTAAGGAGCGGGAGCTGATCGTTGCTCAGACTTCTGCGGAGCAGAACGCAGCAGCTGCTTTTGCTGCTCTGGAGGCCGAGCGGAAAGCCTATGCAGAGGAGAAAAAGCGGCTTGAATCGGAGCTTGGCGAGCTCCGGGTTCAGCTCGGGGTCTCTCAATCCAAGGTTCATGCTGCCGAAGCTGCCTTGGTTAAATTTGAAGAGCATGCCCCTCGTATCTCGGACGGCCCTGCTGAAATACAGGTCGATTTGTCTGCCGTCCGGGAGTCATTCAAAGGGTCTGAGGAGTTCGCCATCTTGAAAAAAGATTACTCACAGCAGCAACTCCCAGTCACCTTTGGTAATTACCTTGACCGTTTCTCCACGGGTGATGCCCGTCGGAGCGAGGGGGTCAAATTGCTCGACCAGGACCCAAGGGGGAAAAAGTTCAATGATTCCCTAGCCCGATCCCTGTACGTCATGGGCTGTCAGCATATCATGGCTCCTTTCGTCACAAAATTTCAAGATTTACTAGGGAGGCCGGTCGAGCTGGCTGATCTTCCCCAAGCGCCCATAGTTGAAGCCCAATACGAGAAGTATCAACGGGACTTACAACGGGCTGCTGATCGTGAAGCGGGGAAGGAGCCTGATCCCTTCACTGATTCGGATGAGGAGGAGGGTGATGAAGAAGACAATAGGGCAGAGCAGTAGAGTAGAATCTAGTAATTTTAGCAACCGTAATCCGTTTCCCCTTTTTCCTCTTTCCTTGCAAAACCTTATCTGTATTTCCCGGCCAGTAGAGCCGATGAATATATATCTCTTTTTTGCATAAAGCTCTATATACTGTCTTTCTTGCCTTTACTGAATGATTTACTCGTCATTTGGGATTCGGTCCGTTTTGTAGTACTTAACGGTTTTCTGACTGTTTTTTACTCAATACTCCTAACATCATATGTTTCCCGCTCGGGCTTCTGTTCATTTTTTAGTACTTGGCAGTTTTTTTCTGGCTTCAGGTGTCTCTGATAATCTTCCCGCACTTGGCTCCCTTCATATGTTGGTAGCCGTTCGGGCTTCAGATGTCTCTGATAATCTACCCGCACTTGGCTTCCTTCATATGTTGGTAGCCATTCGGGCTTCAGATCAATTTTTAGGACTTAGCAGTTTTTTCTGGCTTCAGGCGTCTCTGATAATCTGCCCGCACTTGGCTCCCTTCATATGTGGTAGCCTTTCAGGCTTCAGATGTCTCTGATAATCTACCCGCACTTGGCTTCCTTCATATGTTGGTAGCCGTTCGGGCTCCAGATCATTTTTTTAGAACATCAGTTTTTCTAACCAGCAAGTCCGTGTGATCTTTGCTAATCCTCTGTAAGCCCGTTCGTCACTCGGTAATCGGCGATCTGAGTAGGTTTTAGCCATTCCTCTGTGA